AAAGCGGGTGGCTGGGGAAACCGTGGCCGCCAAGTGAGAACAGGCAAGGTCAGGAGTAGAGAGGGCTCTGCAGACAGCGGGGAGTGAGTAGCGACCGTGGGAAAGAGGCATAGTCTGATGGGAGAGTGCGTGTCCCTGTGACAGCCTGTAGGGTTGTTCTTTCGATTGTGCATCACAGTCCGAGCAAGTGGTTTCTCCCCACTCCCTCAGTTCTACCCCTCCATGGAACAGTCGTCAGTAGACTGCAGGAGTCGGGTTCTGACCCTTCAGAGGAGACATGGCTGCTTTTTGGAGCCATTTGATTACGGGTGAGGGTCCCTGGCTAGTAGCGAGGCTCCCCCCTCTGGATGAGCAGAAGAGCAGTACATTGGTATCACTCCGGAGCACTTGTGACTGTCAGCCAGCAGCAAAGCGGATAAACAAGCAGACGGACCCGAGAGAGAGAGAGAGAGAGCTGCAGGCAGGCTGCAGTGTCAAAGCAAACTCTTTTCCTGAGTCTTCGAGCTCATCCTCCCTGGATGGAGCCTCCCTCTGCAAAGCGTCAGAGCCAGGTCCCTCTGGCAGGAGGCATCTGTGTGTGTGCGGTTCAGGCGTCCGCTGCCCCAGGAAAGGGGACAGCCACGTCTCCTCCCCAGATGGAAGCAGTGGAGAGGGCCTCCTGCCATTCCCCATGTGCTCAGTGAAAGTTAACAGGCAACATGAGCATCTCTGGGCACTGCAAAGTGCTCCATTTAAATCCACCCGCCTCAGAGCGGCGATTGTCGAGTGTTGCTTCTCCCGTGTGGCAGCGTGCTAGCAGTGGGTGTGGATAAGCTAGTTCACGGCTCTCAGCCGGATTAATCCCCCTCTTCCAAACCAATCCAATAAACAGCAGCTCAGGGGTGTGGAATCTCAAACCCAGCTGAGGTGCTCGTCCCACCGGATGGCTTTTTGGGGCTCTCTGTGCAGTGAGTTGGGGGGCTCATATGTTCCCCAAATGTCTGCATCCGGTGCAAAGAAGGGAATTTGCTACAGTCCCCATCTAAGCACAGCTGATCTCAGCTGCAGGGCAAACTGGTTTTCCATAGTTACAGATCAGTTATTCGTTTGGGCACATTGAAACTGACAGTGACTTCGCTGTGCTTTGAGACAGGCTGTGCGGTAGGGAACTTAGGCTCTGATGTGTACTTCCTCCTTTTCCTTTTTGGGATTGATCTACAGTGAGAAACTTTTGCGGCAGCCTCCTGTGCAGTGAGCCATGGAGACACCGCAGGGTCATCTAGGCTGGCTGGTGGCACAATCCACAGCTGGAGAAGGGCCATTTCATCTTGGGAAGCAGTGACATCCAATGAGATTAGCATAGGAACTAGGCAGACCCCAATCTCTAGCGTGGTGTGTCCAGTGTGATCTTGGGAGATTTGGGATAGGCTGCCTGGGATGTGTTAGCTGGTGAAACACCCTGGTGGAACTGGATGTGAAAGCCCGACCCTGTCTGGTTTCCCAACATTCCTGGGGTGGAGGTGAGGGGTAAGCGTCTCTCAGGGACGGAGAGTTTACATTTCCCTCCCAATCCAGGGGAACCCACTGCAGAGTCGGGTCTGTTTCGCTGTGCCATTCTCCGCAGCCTTGCCCAGCCTCTCCCAGTCCAGCCTGGAGCCCGGCAGCCGTTAGCGGGGTGCAGTTCTGTGCAGGCGCTGTTTTGCCTGCCAGTAAATTGCAGACTGACAACAGCAGCTGTAACTCCCTAGTAGGAGTACCTTGAGCCTGGGATGAAGAATCCCCAGGGAGGTCTTTGAACTAGGAGCTGACAGGGACCTAGGGAGGTGGTGGAATCTCCTTCCTTAGAGGTTTTTAAGGTCAGGCTTGACAAAGCCCTGGCTGGGATGATTTAGTTGGGGTTGGTCCTGCTTTGAGCAGGGGGTTGGACTAGATACCTCCTGAGGTCCCTTCCAACCCTGAGATTCTAGGATTCTTGCTGCCATGGTGCCAGCAGCAAGTCCCCTAGTCTAGCAGCTCAGAGAAGCTATTACAGCTCCCCCTAGCGTGCCTGGGACTGGACTCAGGGATCCTCCAGCTAAATGCAGACAGCGGCTTTCCAGACAAACCAAACACGACAGGGCTGCCGGTCCTTGCTGCGGCCAGCCCTGGAGCAGCCCGTGTCATTGTCCTGCTGCGACAGTCATGAAGGCAATTGCCTGTGGTGGCTTTAATGAGAGCCTCACCGCAGAGGCTGAAACAAACCCCAGAGCACCTGGCCTGTGCCCTTGATCCCAGGGGGGCTCTCCAGGTTTGTCTGAAGCCTTGTTGGTGGAGCTGGTAGATTGTTTCTGTCAGAATGTTTTGTCAATGGAAAGTGGCTTTTTCAACCAAATGGGAATGTGAATGAAAAACATCCATTATTGTGCTGAAAAATCAGGGGGAGGAGGGGGGGAATCAAAGCTTGCTCCCCCCGCCCCCCTCCACATACGTACACAAGAAAATTTCAAAGAAAAACTTGTTGAAAATTTCAGAAGGAAAAGATCCTTTCCCGGCCAGCTCTGCTCCATGGATTCAAGGCTAGAAGGGACCGCGGTGACCATCTAGTCTGACATCCTGCACAGCACAAACCAGAGAAACCCCTCCCGTGATTCCTGCATCCTGCCCAGAGTTCTGGCTGAGCCAGACCATCTCCCGTACAGAGAGACATCAAATCCTGAGTTCCCAACTCCAGGGGGTAGAGAATCCGCCATGTCCCTTGGCAGCCTGTTCCCCAGCCGTTCAGACTGTCTCTGCGGTTGTCCCCAAGGGCGGGGTGGGTCTGTGCAGCTGGCACTGTAGCCGTGATTCTGCCAGAGACGCAGGAGCCAGCAGGGCTCTCGCTCCTGTAACCATGTTGCTCTTGCTCGGCCGACAGGAGGAGAAGGCGGCCATGATAAATCAGCGATGCTGGGGGAGCAGAGACAGGCTGGCCCCAGGGGCCGTGGCTCAGGCTCACTGTCCTGGTTGCTGCTGCACTCCCACAGTTGAGTTTATTGTATCTCTGCTTGTTATTTCTATCAAAGGGATTTTCAGTTCACCTGCAGGCAAGAGCCGTGGTTAGTGGGCCCAGGTGAGGGCAGCAGTGGTCATTTATCTTCCTAGTTAGAGCCTGGAAGTGGGACTCCAATTCCTGGGTTTGCCGGACGAGCTGTGTGACCTCAGGCTGGTCCCGCTTTGCTGAGTGGGGCCGGTCTCCCCAGGCTCTGATGCTGGAGTGAGTCAGTCCTGTGCAGTGCTTGGATAAGCACGGCCTGTTGCGTTACTATTGGTTTGCAGGGCGGGCACCAACAGAGGCTAAGGGGCTGCCAGCCAAGCGGTGACCTTGCTGGGCTTTCCCAGGGCTGGGGAGGTGGGATGCTGACATTCAAAACTGATTAGCATGTTGGGGCGCGCAGGGCTGGCTCCGTCGCTCCCAAGCCCAGGACAGGGCAGCACCATCTTCGGGAATGGGCAGCGGTTACTATTGGGGCGTGCGGGGCTGGCTCCGTCGCTCCCAAGCCCAGGACAGGGCAGCGCTGTCTGTGGGAACGGGCAGCAGTTACTATGCTAATGGGGCACATTAAAACATGCTCTGGCAATGAGCGCAGCTCTGACCTTGGCAGCGATGGTGAGAGCAGAGGTGGGAGCCAGCAAGGCCCCCGGGGAGTGATGTGACCTTGGAGCAGCAATGGCCCTCACAACCTGTAACCACCCCCCCCCGACCTGCGGCAGGCTGCTCACGCCGCTTAATGCAGCCAAGCCAGGAACACAGCGAAGGTGCCAAGGCCCCAGGGACCTTAGCCGGGCTGAGCCCCACAGCCATAGGGCTCGGGGTGGAGGTGCCTCTGCACAGCAGGCCCCCCTGCCCGTTTGTAGCTAGTCTGTGCAGGCCGGAGTCTAGCTCACTGCCGAAGTAGAAACTGGCTACAGTGCATGCAGAAAAGGGTGCGGAGCCCGGTAACCAGGGGTGGGGGAGGGCTCAGGCTGGGCGTAATGGGGTCTTGTGTTTGATGATGTACAGCATGAGGGCAACAACTTTCCTCCATCGGTCCCTGGTGCCTGCTGCCCCAGCCCTGATCCTCCAAGGGGACCGTGCTCTGGCCACCATGCGTCCCAGCTGGGAGTCCATCTGAGTGCGGCTCCTTCAGCTCCCCCCTAAGGGGTATTGGAAGCCAAAGTCCCCTCCCTCCCATGCCCAAACGGGCTCCCAGCTCCTGCCAGTCTGGAGAACAAGGGGCCAAGTACCAGGCGTGGCTCCAGGTTACTCACCCACCAGGCCCAACACTTACACCTTTAACAGACGCGTGATGCCGGCCTTCCGGTTCTTTGGGAAAGCTGATGGTGCCCCGCAGCCGGCCTGCAGGGAGTGTAACGCTGCAGCTGGGCTTTAAAAGAGGTTGAATAATTCTATGAGGTAAACGATTAGTAGTTGAGGGTAATTAGTTGTCAGGCTTCAGGGTGCAAGCTGGTTCCCTGCAGGGGTCAGGAAGGAGTAGTTCCTCCACACAGACAGGATTGCACAGTTAGCCTGGTGTACTGGGGGGGAGGGATAGCTCAGTGGTTTGAGCATTGGCCTGCTAAACCCAGGGTTGTGAGTTCAATCCTTGAGGGGGCCATTTAGGGATCTGGGGCAAAATCAGCACTTGGTCCTGCTAGTGAAGGCAGGGGGCTGGACTTGATGACCTTTCAAGGTCCCTTCCAGTTCTAGGCGATGGGATATCTCCATTAATTATTATTATACTGCCCTCCCTGTGCAGCATCAAGCGCGGGCTGCTGCTGGAGCCAGGATATGGCGCTCGATGGGCTGAACTAAAGGGGAACCCAAGCGGTGGGGTTGGATTCTGGTTTTGAACTTCTCTGAAGTTCCAGAGCTGTTGGATTCAGTGTCCTGGTCCAGGCTTACCTACTGTCTGATCTGCTGGAGTGAATCGGACGCACCCAAGGCATCCCCCTTGCTCCCTCCCCCACTCCATTGCTTTGCTGCCTAGTGCAAAGAGTAACCCCTGTCCTCCTCTCTGTTCTAGTGGCCATGGAAACAGCGCTGATCTTTCTGTGCTCTCTGCTGGTGCCTGTGGTCGTGGCGGACGGTAGGTATCAAGCCTCGCACACCTTGCACTCTGAAGGGGGAAGGGGTACAGCCAATGGGCCTGTGGGACCCAGGCAGATAAAGCAGAGTTATGTATCCAGATCGGGGGGCTGGCCTGCGTACCGCCTGGGCTTGGAGCTGGCACAACTGATGGGTGGAGGAAGCATCAGGACTTTTAAATAGCCTTTTCTTGCTGGGAAAATATAACTCACAGCAAACAAACATCAGGGGAGCTGCTAGGTGAGGGCACTGGTCCAGCTTCGGGGACATCTGCTT